CGTTCATTTTTCTTTGTTTTCTTCTGCTGCCGACTCTCAACATGCTAGGTACGGCAATGATTAATTACAGTATATGACCAAGCGAAAATAATTTTATTTGGTTATTCATTTCACCGGATTACTGCACGTGATCTGTAATGTTTTTAAGAGAGTCATGCTCGATAAATTTGCAAATATAAATCAACGAAAACTGACTAAAAATAATACACAGAAACAAAGATGATCTCACGTCGAAAGTCATTTTGCAAGGCCTAATCTTATCTGGATATTCATTTAGGTTAGAATCTTCTTGAGGAGGATGAGGGAGATGAGATACTGTATTTTGAAAAATAAGGATTGAAACGGGCAAAGCTTGAATTTCCTAAAGCATGTTCTCGAGGCGAGGTAATAATAATAATATGATGATAATGATTTCATCACGACCATTAAGAAAAATATTTCTCTGGATGGAGTCTGAAATAATTCCGAACTCAAACGAAGTATTGAGAAATTGGGAAACAACAAGTTTCAAATAATACGATTACTTGGTCGCGATTATGAGGATGCGATATCAGAATTTGCAGGCCAGTTTCGTTCAGAGTTTCCGAAGACTTCACTAAAACTAAGGAACGCAAACAACATTTCGGTTGCTGAAGTTAACGCTATTACGCTTACCGCGCCTTGAGGGCTTTGCTAATTCCATGAATTTTTTTGGTCTGCTTTCTGATATTCTCGTATAGAAGACGACCCTTTTGTCAACAAAGCCATATTTAAAGTACGTACTGTATATCGTGATCCGATTGTGACGGTTTATATATTTATGCTAAAAATACCGAGTCGAGTCATTCCCGTCTTGCATAAAAACATTTTTGAGCGCTCAATCCGAAATGATTTATCGAGAGAGTTGAAAGCACAGGGTGCATCATTGTCGTATAAGATGAAAGTACGAGATAAAGTTAATAAGGCGGAGGCTTGCTGGGAAAGTACACGTCACGTAGTCGTGATATCATGTGACAGAACTCAAAGCAATTAGAATATCCTTTGTATTTATAATGATGATATAGTGGGTGCATTCTTAATTGATCACGTAATATGAAATCTTAATTGATCACGTAATATGAAATCTTCAAGAAGGTAATGAGTATACTGAATAAGTCAACGTTTCAAGCGTATTGGCTAGTGCACATTAAGCCAATTATTAAACTGAAATGATAAACTACATATGACCAGGCAATCTACATGTATCTGCACGGTTTGCACGGATGAAGCATCGTTCCCAGGGGTTTGATTACGGATTAATTTATAGCACCAAATTACGGTGATCATTCTCGTCCGCAAAGGAAACGCAAAACTTGCCGATATTAGACTAACAAACAATAGGCACTTCAACCGTTAATATTTAAAAGAACCCGATAAAGGGTATTTTAAAAAAAACAATGAAATCCGAAGAATTATATATTTGAACCTGCCATACTGATTTCATTAGATCGTAGAGAGATTATGGTAGAAAGAATACTCGGAATACGTAAATATTTGCGTAGGGCTATTTATTTCTCTTAATATCCGAAATTTACTTGGACTAGTAATATTCTACTATATACTGTATAATATACCGTACGTAATTAATAAGGCAGATTTATTTAAAGAACTGTTGTCCCTAATGGCTGTTCTCAAGATTTTTAATCTTGAAATTCTCAAATCACCTCTATCTCTTCCTTGATCAATTATGTTTATAGTATGTTGGATCTCAATTATCACCGAACCTTATTAACAACTTTAACTTATTATAACTGAAATTATTTTCTTTTAACAAAAATAACTTTTTGTTATTTATTATCAATTTATAGTACGCATTTAAGTATAGTCAATAGGATTTCGCTTACATATTTTTTTTGTTAAATATATTTTATATACTGTATCAAATTTTTCAATCAATTGATTTTCAGCCGCAATCAGGTTAACTTAGTATTGTTAAGAACCTAAAAAGGAATGCACCAACTCTAAAATAATAATAATTAAAGTAATACTTTGTATTATAATTTATTAAAGAAAACAAACGCTTTATTAGGTTAACTATATGTGGTTTATTAAACATTTTGTAAACTATGCATACTGTATATCTAAGTATCACTAAAATCAACTCTTTAACTCATTCATCTCTGTTTAAATAACTCGAAGTACAACTTTAAAAGCTTCATTGATAGTTCAAGTAAATTCCCTTCCAACTATTAACAGCACCGCTTGCAGATTACTATCGTAGAAAAAAAAAACTTTTTTAATTCAAAATTATGTTATCATGTTATATTTTTATTGAGACATCAAAAAATATCTATAATGTTATATTGATTATTTTATAGCAATTAATTTATTATTATATGTTATTAGCTGAATAATATTATTACTTTAAAAATATAAGAAATTTGTTAATTTAATTTAAACTAAGCAATATTTTATATCCTTGATGGACTAATACTGAAAATCTCTATATACTAGAATTATTGTTAACGATTTATCATTATAAATTATTTTGAAAAACAACAAATTGTTAAATTAATATACTGAAGAAAAAAAAAGGATAAAAAACATTTCAAAACTTCTTTATACAGTATATTATTATAAAAGTTTTTTCAAGAATATCTAAAGAAATGAAATAATTTAAATTCACTTATTAGATTATTCAGATCAATACCATATTACAAGAAAATTTGAAGTCAACATATTATATAATCATTTGTTTATTTTTTGATATTATAATTGTTTTTTTGTAAACTTGCTCAATTGAAGAAAATCTTTTTATAAACTTTTCTTTTCTAATATTATTAAATATATTATTATAATCAATAAAAATCCATCTGTATTTTAAAAACCAATATACAGTATTTTATATTAATATATTATTTTTAATAAAAATTATATTGTTCAAAATTTTAAAATCAAATTAAAAGAAACAAAAAATTTTAAAAATCTATAAAAATAAAAATTTTAAAAATATATAAACAGTTGACAAGAAAAGTAAATAAGTTTTTTTACTATAAAGAATCTTTTTTAATATTTATCTTAATATTATAAAAATCTTTAGATATTTTATAATTAATTTTTTTAGAAAAAATTTTTTTTTTTTTTTTTAAACTGCAACTGATATTAGATGTGAGCTGTTTATTGATAATTAAATATTAAGCATTATATTGATCATCTTATACATATATATGTAAATTAATGATAACCTATCATGACTTGTTCTAGATAGACCTACTTGAAATCCTTCTATAGGTGGATATGACTAACTAGAAGCTGAATAGTTGATAACAGTCATCAACAATGATGTTGATATAATTAGCTAATTTTGTTAATAAGGGACTACTATGCTAACTTATACACTAGTGTCAAATCCTCAAGGGTTATTTTAACCACCCAGATATCCTGATACTTTTTACTTGAACCTCAGAAAGGATTTCTATCTTCTTTGTCACCACCTGCGACATCAGAAACAAGTCCTATTCGACAGGTCCTTCATTTAAGCAAGCACTGGATTGGAATATTCCAAGTTAAGGTAGTCAGATTTCAGATTTTGCTGGTATAGTTTGGGATAAAGAATGTTCAAACAATTGTTGCAGTCCTAAAAGCAGGGTTCCAGAGTCTGCTAGTACAATTTTGGCGTTAGTGATATGTTTAGACGATTACCGTAGTCCTAAAAGTGAAATCCTAAGATTTTGTTTCCTATCTAGTTTAGGGGGATTAGTTTGGGCATAATTCATATAACCAGACCAGTGACCTTTCTTCATGCAATCCTCGTAATAGATCCTTTTCAGTCTGGCGATCAACGGAGAGATCAGAAGTTTCATCCTTATACAACCTGATTATTTTTTCTTATATAGCCCTTGCGTGGTATCGAACTTTGAATCTTGTAATTGCGATCTGAAAGTACTACCACTGTGCTATAGACCCACAGGTCTTTTAGAAAAACTTTTTTATCATTAATAATAAAGATATTACTTTACTTGTCTTTTTTTAATTAAATATTGAATATTTAATTATGAAAATTAATAAATTTTTTTAAGACACTAGCTTATCCTTGTGCTCATGTATTACGTATTTTATTTGAGTAAGTAAAAAATCTAAAATTAATTAGAATAAATAATTATCCATACTATCTAAGAATTTACAAATCAATGAATAGTACAAAAAGTTAACTATTTACATCTCACCCAATCAGAATATAATAATTACATGAAAATCTGATCTAGATTAACTACTTCCAAAAATAAAATTCTAAAAAAAATAAGAAAAATAATACACAAACTATAATATTTTTCTATTCTAAACTTAGATACTCCCTAAAAATATAGCTCAGATCTTGATTCATTGAATAGCTTATTGCTATTCCTAAAGAGGAAACTAATATCCCAAAAATTTACCTGAAATATTCATCACTATCGATGTTGAAGATCTCTCATGTAGAGCCTTAACCTCTATTAGCGCTTAATCAAAAATTTTATAAAAAAAGGGTTAACTGGTACTATTCTTAGAGAGATGATATTTTATCGTTTAAAAGGATAACAGATATATTTTTAAAGAAAAGGTAATAAGTTTCCAAAACCCTCCTAAAATGATTCTATTCTATAAGGTCATTTTCTTTTTACTTGAGTTTACTGAAATAAAAAAGAAGAAATGAAAAGCTAATGTTTTCTATCTGGTGTGTCCTAATCCAACCTTGTTCTTTTCATATAGCCAATGATATCATAAGCATTTATATCCTGTATCTAATTGCACTATAAAAATATAACTTATGTTGGATCCCAGATTCTTATGGGTATTGAGAAAATATATTTAGTCACATGGGGTGACCAATAAGAGCTTGTTTACATTTCTTTACTGGCTTATTTTTGCTAATCAATTATTACTTGAAAAACTTTGTGCTACTTAAAATTAGGGTCAAACTGAGATAGGCAAAATTATTCAGAAAAACTGAGAAATAGCATTCTTAGAGCAAATACATTACAAGAGAGTGAGTAGTTGCCTTCAAGATAAATCTTTCATTATCAGAAAAGTACTATATTATTTTTCTAGCAAATAGATAGATAACAGTATTTTAATTCTTCTTTCTTTCATAACTTTCTTATCATTTGTAGAAAAGGTATATTTATAACTTTTATCACTATAGATCAAGTTTTTGTTTGAAAAAGATTGTTTATAAAAGGAAAAGGCAAGGTAAAGATGACTCTTGAAGGGTTCTTTCAAGTTGGTTTAAGAGAAGTTATAAGACTTTATTAGTCAAAAAATATATAATTTCTTGCAAACATCTTTTTTGTATATAGTCAGAGGATTAGTGAAAAGAGTTGTAGATGAATTGATAGAAATTAATAAATAAGAAAAAAATTATAATATATTTTTAATATTATTTTTTATATTATTTTGAGAATAATAATAAAACTTTATTAATCAAAAAATTAAAAAAATTTTAACAATCATCTTTTATATACAATTAAAAAATTATTAAAAAATAATATACAATTTTTATTTATTATACTTTATTAGTAATGATAAATTTATATGATTAAATTAAATATTTCCCTATTATTATTTTAATATAATTAATAAAATATAATTTATTTATATTAAATAATAATAAATAAATAAAATATTATTTTTTAAAATTAAAAATAAATAAATTAAATTAAATTAAAT